GATAAGACGGAGGAAGAGATGTAAGCTGCCTTGAGCCCTTTGTAGGAAAAAGGCAGGATATAAATCGAAAATAAAATAAATAAGAAACAACAATTATTCTATTTTTCCATGCTTCATGTTTTCTCTGGTCATCTGAACCTGGCATTGTGGCTTCCACAGCCCTGGTGTTCAGTTGCTACAAAGTTCTCTGGAAAGCACAGCAGCTGCAAGAGCTGTTCCAGCCATCCAACATGGGATTGAGATACATGTCAACAGTGGGAGGATGAGTGAAGATGATGGAAACCATGCTAGCATACAACCACTTGATTGTCTGTCAGGCACATCTAGGCAAAATAACAACCAAAAAAAAAAAAGGAAACCATGCACAGATATTTGTTGCAATATGTGAATGCAGCCACTGATGGGCATTGGCTGTGCAGGACTTCAGGCAGGAAGTTTGTGAGTCCTACCAGGAAATGCTGATAATGGAACATGGAACCTTGTGTGAGCACCACTAAGTTCTACCACTAAGCCACAGCCCCTCTTGCGTTCAACTGGGCCACCACCTGTACCTTTATTCTATTCCTTGCTTCTTACACGATTCATTCAGTACCCATAAATCCTACACAAATAGGTATTACTAAAGTGTTTGCACTCCAGACTGTAGAATTGGAGACAAGTTGGCCCAACAGATGAGAATACATGTCAGACAAATATACTTTTATTTTCTTAAGAGGGAAAAGTTTATTTGAAGTTTTGACAAATATTTCGCCCAACTTGTCTTGATTCTAAATCAGTTTAAATTTGTTCATCTGTTGTCCCTGAAACTTGTTGATGTCATCTAAATAATACAGGAACCTACTTCTCTATTATTTCTGTAGAATTTATGGTAATCTCTGTCTGTTATACTTTTGGCATTAAATAATGACTGAATAGCAATAGTAATTTACCTCAGGCATTTTATAACCATTTTAAATAACACTGATTTAAGTGGAAGATGTGCTTTTAGCGTGATAGATATTATTTGTACAATTATGACTTGACATTACTGATCTTTTCTTCTTTCCAATTTAAGTATGAACCAAAAAAAATCTCACTGATAAGAGATGCCAAAAAGTTATACATGAAATTATTTGTAGAGTTTCAAACATATTTATGGTGGTACAACAATGTGAGTACAGTTAAAACTTTATACTGATTATTATCAGCCATTTGGTAGAGTTTATGTAAAGCCCCTTGATTAGGCACCATTTCTCTATTCCCATCATAGTTCTGAATTCATGAAGAACAGATAAATACAGGAACAGAGGGGAGAGTAACAGAGATACATTGTTCACTGAGCTGTTCATATAAATATTCTACTGTGTGTTGTCCCACTGTAGAGTTAAAATGGCTGTATTGCAGGATGTTGTTGCCTGGTGACCAAGAGTGCATCTCCTATACCACAGAAGGACATGAACACTGAAAGACTGATTTACTCCTATTGCTCACCCCAAGACTCAGACACTGAAATTAAATGTGCATTCAACAAGCTAAATATTTCTTTTCTCTGCATACCATTTAAATGGAATATGACCTTGTGAATCTGAAATATTCACCAAGCATACAACAGCAAAACAAGAGGAAATACTTGATCAAGCCATTTAATAAACATATTAGAATACTGCTACTGTAAGCCTGCAAGTTATCTTTGCTTAAATGAAGTCTGTGTTGCTTGTCTAGTCTGCTCTGGTGCAAACTCCCACCTGCTATCAGTCTCTCTTTCTTTCATTAGAATCAAGTAGTTAATTAGCCCCAGCCTGTCCTCTCCCCTTCTCTCTTTCCCTTTAATGCAGCAGTAATGATGTCTAATTACCAGCAGCAGTGGATTACAGAACCTTCAGGAGCATATCTCTCTTGCTGACAGCAAAGCAGAGCAACAAACCTTAAAGCAATAAAAAAGAGTCTAATTCTGGACAGCGAAGATGGTTTATTTCATTTCTTTTTTGCCAAGCCAATGGCTTTTAAATTAAAATTGTTGCCTTATGTAACCCATTAACACTATGGGGATGTCTGAACTGACCGGGATTATCAGTAATAATTGATTTTACAATGATCTATCTTTTACATACAGTGACTTTTCAAGTGGCCGAAAAAAAGTTTTCCATTATACAGTGCTACAAGTTAGTCTCTGTGTACTGTAACAGCTAAAATATCTGTGACAACAGTGTCACGAGCAGTGCATGCAGCAAACCCATTGGATACTTCAACAAAGAGTTAGCACTTAAACTTTTCCATCATTACTGCAGATTTCTAGGGATGGGTGAAATGGTGAGTTGCGAAGTTGGCTGAAGCATCTGTCCATGGTGCCAGTAAGTAAAGTTGAATGGCTGTATGCTTTTTTGTTTTAATTTTCAAGGGGAAATTAAAATCCCCCTTTAATTCAACTATTGATACATATGCAGTATGCCTATCCCACTTCTTTTAGGTTGATTTAAACCTTTTCAATGGCTATTATTGAGTCTAGCTTAATTTGCAGAGAAACCATTTCATTTTCTTTTTTCCTCCTACTTTGAGTACTGAATATGCTTCAGGCAAAGTCTGAAGTTCTTAAACATTTGCTGAATCTTTGACTGGAAGCATGAAGTTTGAAGTGCTTGTAGTTCATTCAGTAGCATTTGTGCAGTCTGTTAGAAGTGAATGCTACATGGAACACATTTAGGAAATTAAATATTCTAAAATATTGGATTGGATCTAGACTTAGGCATACTTCAAGTAGACCTAGTAAAATCAATAACAAGTCATGATTGGCATAATTGATTTGAATGGGTTAACTCAAAATATGACTACATCTGAATTTAACCCTCAAAAGTGAACTTTCCTTGTTCAGTGAGTGCTATGCCATTATACAGAATATTGCATAAGTAATGCATAATGACATGCCTATTTTCATTTGATTGTGGTCACTGAAGTATAGAAAGATGAACATTTTAAGGTTATATTAGGATATCTGTCAAGATTGCTCTACTGACATTCTCAACTCTGAGGTTGCCATCTTATATACACATATCTAGGAGAAAGTCCCATTGAACTCTGAGTATACTTGTGTGCTACTGTGGGGTAAGTTTTTTAAAGATATGTAAATATATGTCATATTTGTAGTGGTTTTCCAATTCAAACAGATAAACACAATGAAATATTTAGTAGGTGAGTATATTAAGGAGGTTGCTAGCCGCAGAAATTTGGCTTAAAGTTTGGCAGAAAGAATGGGGATAGGTAAACTTGTTTAGAGAGGACATAAAATATAAGTTAATGCAAGCATTCACTTTTAAAAACCCAGAGCACCATTTTATCTGCCTATTTCTCAGATTATCATTGATTGCAAAAGAGAAATTTTAGCCTTAGCTGCACAATAGCAAATAAGTCACTCTGAAAGATAGACACTGTCCACAACTCCTTTAAAAAAAAAACCCTTCTCCAGTGAACAAAAAAGTGAATAAAATAAATTACTATCTATACAAAACTTCTTTTCTGGTGGACTTTTCTGAAAATTGTGTTATGCTTCAATGTTATACTAATAATACTTGAATCTACATTAAATATTGCAGTCATAGGTTTATAGTGAAATGCAACTCACTCTTGAAATAATGGGTTTACATATAAGCAATAATGTACAGCCCCAAATCCATAAAACTTTCACAAGGTATTATGCAATGCTCCTGTAGGCAGCTGAACCCAAAAATCAACAGAGGAATGAACCCTTGTTTCAATCAATGTCTTGCAGCCCAATTTCACTTTTTGAACTAGTTACCTAATAGCATCCTTTCTTTCACTAATCACATATATGGGCATATATAAATATTTTGATTGTCTTTCCAATGAGTCAAAGATGCACACGATTCTAGAATTCCTGTCTACAGCAAACACTACATTACATCTTACTTCCTTTTAAAAAAATCAAAAACTTCTTTAAAGCTGTAATTGAGAAGCTTTTTCCTAGTCTAATAAGAGATTGCCCTGACAACAAAAATGTGTTCCATCAAAACCCAAATACCAAATGTATGGAGTTTTAAAAATATTTTTATTGCACACATTGCCATATACTGGGGCCAGAGGCAAAGCTCAGAAGGCAAGAAATGCTAAATGAAGGAGTTGAGAATGTGAACCTACTTGTAACCAACAGTTCCCATCTTCCGAAGCAGGAAATGCTGTAGGTCCTGCCACCATCACAACCCAGCATAATAGTACTTGTGCTGAGAGATCTGCAAGCCTGTTTTTGAGTCTCAGTTTCTGGAAGGCTAGCAATACTTCTGGGCTGCTATCAACTGAAAGACTTGAGCAAGCTCAGAGAGAGAGAGGGAGAGAGAGGGAGAGAGAGAGCGCGAGCGAGCGAGCGAGCGAGCGAGCGCGATTTCCCCCATTTGGTCATGTGCAAGACTATGGCTCTTTTGTCGATCACCCTGCCCTCCGCTTTCTGCAGTCAGCCACGCATGTCCCTGCTGCTCAGCGGACGTGGGCTAACAATGAAGAAAAAGAAGCTAATATCCTGGGGAAACCCCCAAATCAACGACCGCCTGGCTTTGTGCCCATAAGGCTCCTCTGTGCTCTATTCCATCGATCGAAATGTGTCTGGTACAGGTAGTAGCTGCAGGACACACCACGGGCCCTCGCTATTCCCCATTCAGCCCAAAGGGAAAGAAATAATGGATTCCCCGTTTCCGCCCCTTCACCTCCCCAGCCACCCCACAAAAGAAAGCAGGTTATAGGGGTGTGTTCTGTGCATCTGCCATGTAGAAGGAAGGAAGGAAGGATCACAAAGCCTCGGCAGCGGAGAAGGTGCCAGGGAAATTCAATATAGGGAGAGGGAGGGGGAGGGAGAAACGATGTGGAGGAGGAGGAGGAGGAGGAGGAGGGGAGGGGGAGGGAACAGCCTGAGCCAACGAGGGGGTGGGGGTGGCAGCTATGTGGCGTCGGCGGAGGCTGCTCCCCACTCGTCCTCCCTGATGTGGCTACATAACAAGGCAGGCAATTTCTCTACTAACCGTGGTCTTGACAGGCACGTAGAGTACTTGCTTCGCTCCGCCACCGGCACCGCCACCACTGACCTCGTCCGGATTGCCGAGCTGGAAACCTTTGGATTTGACCCAGAATTTGAATTTGGCGTTATCCGTAGAGCTCGTCTCGGAGCCGTTTAGGAGCTGGACAATCCGCTCGTATTTTTTACGGGTCACCGTCTTGGTTTTACCCGAGTCCCCGTAAGTCCTGAGGCACCAGTCTTGGAACTGGCGGTACATGTCCCGATCGCCGCTCTCCATAATCCCCCTGAGAGAGAGAGACACGCACACAAAGCGGGCCTGGGGGAGGGGACGGATCTCCCACACCTTCGGGGCACCTGTTCACCCCGGGCACATGGAGAATCCTCCACCACCAAGATCCGGCGAGAAGGCGGAGGTCCCGCGGCAATCACACGAGAGCGGGCTGCTGGGGTTTTCCCTCCTCCTCCTCCTCCTCCTCCTCCTCCGGTGGCTGAGGGGCTTGGCGGTCAATTCCAGCGTGGCTCGCCAGCAGTCCCGGTCATTCTCCAACTTGCTCTCCCCCTCCTACATAAGACAGGCGAGCTGGTCTGGAGGGGCTCGCTTTGCCTTGCCTTCCCCTTCTACGGTACGTGATCTGCCCCTTTAATTTTGTGCCAAGCAGGACTATCCCAGCGTCTCCAGCAGCCTCGCTCCCCCAGAGGGTTGCGCCTCTATGCCACCGAAGACATAGCCCCTCGCTTCTCGAAGGCAAAAGGAAAGGGAGAGGAAATAAAATATCATGGAGTCGGGTTCTTCTCTCTTGGGCATCAGCTTCAGCCTGGATGGTGCAGGTTGTGGGGGGGGGGAGGGAGAAAAGCCCACCCTCCACCCCAGCCAGCCAACCCTCGGCTGCCTTCCTGTGTCGGTCCTGGAGGACCCTGCTTCTCCCTAAGCAGGATCTCTGTGCAGGATGGAGGCAGACGCTGAAGGGCAGATGGGCCTGGTTCCCCCCTTTTATTCCATCCTAGATATCCATGCTTTGGGTGTGAAGCTGTTGGTGGGATAGAAAGTTCTTTCCTAGCTAAGAAATCCAGGGCGCATCATAGAGAGAAATCTCGGCAGGTCATATCAAATCCTGCTCGCAGATTGTTATAATGCTTTTAAAGACCCTACTGAACTGATTTCTGAAAGACCCCCCCCCCCCCACAACCCCGTTCTTGAAATAGAAAATTCAGCTTGGGACCAAAGGAGGGCGAGCTCAGTCCCAGGAGGATGCTGGTCAGTGGATGGCCGATGGCTGGCGGTCGGGCGGGCTGCGGTGGAATAACGGCGCTCGCCCCTGTAGCACTCATCCAGTCCCGGGCATCCTGCGGTCTTGTTCACCGGCTTCGAGGCATCCGAGGAAGTTTGGCGTCCGGATGCTTGCGGAGAAGCAGCGACACCCGTTTCCTTCCCCCACCCACGCGGCAGCTTTGATTAGGGTCCCTCCCTTCGCCACAGTTTCAGTTCCCACTTGAGCTTCCAGACGCCTTCGGGCCACGCCACCGACCCACGCTTCCTCCTCGGGAGCCCAACTGCTAGCGCCGCCCGACGACCCTCCAAGCAGGCAAAAGCGGGCGGCAGCTGCTCCATTCGACACCTATTTGCAGCCCGGGAAAGGGAGTTCCCCTCCGCCTCCCCCTCTGCGCCGCGCGAGCCTAGACACACTCCCACTCCGTCTCTCTCTCCGTGCCTGCTCTCTCATGGCTCTTGGACCCGTCCAGTCCTGGCTCCTCTCTTCTGGTCTGCGCACACCAATCCCGGGCCCCCGTGTTATTCTTTTCTCTTTTCCTTAGACCCTCCTATGGCTCCTGGGGGATAAGGGGAAGGCACATAATGGCTTTTCCTCCGCCACCTCCTCCTCCCCTCTTGGCGTCTCTCCCTCCATCCGAAAACCACCGCGAGGTCACGGAACGGCCCTGGCACCTTGCGCGCGCCGCGCCTCGGTCTTGTCCCAGGCAGGCACTTGCAGAATGGTCAGCGCCCGCCTCTCCCGCCTCCTCCGCCCCGCTCCTGTCCTCGCCTCCCCTCCCCCTCGCTTCTCCCTCCCTCCCCCCTCCCTCCCCCGCCTTCCTCCCCGCCAGCCGCTCTCTGTTCAGCGGCTCTGCTGGAAGGTCTCGCAGCGCAGGAACCGGGACTGACAGCCGGCAGCGCAAGCTGAGCGCGAGCACAGCTCTCCGCTAAAGCCCCCTCTCCCCCGGCCCCCTCCTCCCCGCTCAGAGCCGCCCTCCTCTGATTGGCCAGCGGGACAAAAGTTTCTGTGGAGACGGCTGAGCGACGACGTGACGGACAGAATTGTCCCATTTAGGGATGCCGGGCCGTGCGCATGCTGCAGGCGGGCGGCTGCAGGTTGGAGACGGACGCGCAGGCGGGGCTGGCCCGAGCAGCGGGCGGCAAGGTGGCGCAGGGGAGGCAGCCGCGGGAGGGGGGCGGCAACGGCAGCTCCACAGCCTCTCCGCCACAGCCAGGTGGGGGGAAGGGGGAGGGGCGTGCGAGGGGAGCGTTTCCATGGAGACTTCTCCTGGTCTAGCCTAGCCTAGCCTAGCCTCGCCTCGCCTCGCCTCGCCTCTTCTCTCCCTCCCTCCCATCAGATCAGCTGACACATCATTAGCTTAGGACCTAATTATTGCTTATTGGAGCAACAAATGAGCGCGAGGGCCAGCTGCAGGAGGCAGCGCGTGTGGAGGGGGCGGGGGGGCCCGGTTCCATAGACTTTGAGGGAGTCGGACGAGCCAAGAGTCCCGAGCGGATTCTCGTTAACTTGCAGGGCTCCCGGCAGCAGCCGCCGCAGACGCCGCCGTAGCAACTCGTAGCGCCGAGGCGCCCCCCACCCACCGCCAGCCCGCCTTTTCCTCCAGACTTGACTTCTTCTTGTTTACTCAGAGGGGAACGGGTGGTGCGCCGAAGCCAGGCACTGGCCCTGCCTGAACCTCCGTGAAAGGCTGCTGCGCCGCAGCCACCCCCGGCCACTTCGTGACTGTGGTGGGCGGCAGCAGCTCCCTCGGCCGAGCGAAACACGTGCGCTTCTCCCGTCTTCCAGTGGACCTGTGCTTTTCCTGCTCTGTCCATCCCGCCCCCGGCGCCACTGCAGCATCGTTTCTCTTGGCAGCGTAGAAAACACCTCCAGAGAGGGTCTTCCTTGCATTTCTCCTTGTGCTGTAGATGTGCTACCAGTCTCATGCTGAAGTGGGGTGTTGGGGAGAGAGCAATCTCCAGAGTCGGCTTTCGAAGTCAGTGCTATATGCTGCCTCCAACAGCAGAGGTAGTATGCCTAGGTGTATCCACTGTTGGGAAACTTGGGTGGGAAGGTGCTGTTGCACCCAGGTCCTGCCTGGGCAATCCTGTGGGCAGGTGTTGGCCACTCGTGAACAGAAAGCGGGACTATATGGACCCTCAGCCTGATTTGGCATGGTTGTTATGATGTCCTTAGGGGCACCCTTTAAAGTACTAAATCTTGCACCACCGAGGCATGTAGAACAATGCCATGCCCATCTTCTCGAATGTACATTCCTCAGCTTGCCATGGTTCTTAATAGGCTGTATCCAGTGTTAGTTCTGTTTAGAATACAGTCGTAGAAATGTGTTAGACTGACATTGGATGCAACCTACTCCCAGGATTTTTAGTCACTTGGCTTGGAAAAACTAAATTCAGAATTTCCTTAGGGAAGAGAAAGGGGATACACAAAATGATGTGGTGGCTGTGGTGTGTGTGTGGGGGGGGGGGTATAAATAAAGACACTTTGGCATATGAAAGGAAGTGCAAAATAGAATGTTTTGCTCAGTTTAATGATGAGGAAAATGTATGTTGTTTATAGTAACCTGCCCCATCCTTCTGTTAAGTCCATGACCTGGAGACAGGATCTGACCACAGATCAAATTTATCAAGGTCAACTGGACTAGACTTTCATCTCTGCAATGATCTGGTTATACATCACTTTCACATACATCACTGAGTATATGTGAGTATATTCAAATCAGAATCAACCTGCTAGAGGGGAGAAACTCCATGGATGTCATGAGTGCTGTTAAGGTAAATCTACCTGGGTATGGGTGCTGTACCTTCTGAGTTACCTCTTGGATTTTTACAGCTGCCTATTTGCCATCATCTGCCTTAAAATAAGCTGGCTTCTTCCCTCTGAACACACTTAGGACTCACTCTCTGTGAGCTAGGTTTCCCCTTTTACACTGCTAAAACAACAGACCATTCTTTGACAAAAGCTCTTTATTTTCCAGTAAGCACAGCCAGCAAAGAATGAGTCTCTGAGCATGCACAGAGTGGTTTGTGAAACCCAATCTAGCAACTATTTCTGAGAACCCTCCTTTTGAGTACCTTTGCCCCCTCCCCCTCTGGCAGGGCCCTTTTGGAGCCAGGCAAGCCTCATCCCTGTCTGTCACCCCTCTAATGGGTTGGCCTCTCTCTCCTGACATCGCTTCATGGGTAATTAACAAAACTGGCCTTCACCTCACTCCTCAATGGAAATGTTCTGAACCCTAGAAACTGGAATCATCCCATGAAGCAGATTTGTGGGAGAGTCAGGACAGGTAATGTATAAAGTACATCACACAGCATGTAGTTAAACTATGGAATTTACATACAGAAATTATGCCCATGACCACAAATTTGGATGGCTTAAAGAGTTGACTGAACAAATTCCTGACAGAATGCTCTCAATGGCTATCAGTCTTGATTGGGTATATATTTCCTCCCATAGAACAGGCAGTATGCCTCTTTGTACTATTTTGCATTCATGCCCTGCTTGTGGGATCCCATGGGTAGCCAGTTGGTCACTGTGTAAACAGAATGCTGGACTAAATAGACCTTGGTCAGATGCAGCACAGATCTTAGATTTCAGCCCTTCTGGAACAAATCACATTTTAGCAGAAATGAATTTGCAGGGACAGATTTTAACCAGGATAAAGAATAAAAAAGCAAATTCTTCTGGCATTTTGCAGTGTTTCTCATGAAGAATGGGCATAAAATTCCAGTTCAGGAAATCCTTTTAATTATAAGTGTGGCTACATTCATGCAGGGCACTGTTCCTCATCCTTATTTTGAAGTCCTGTGTTTGTTTCCACTCTATTGGTTGTCTATCTACATCGGGATGCTATTAAAATATCTGGATGCTCTGTGGTGGTATAAGGAGAGATCTTTATGCCATTAGCCATGGCAAAGCTCATGTTTAGCAGGATGTAAGTAGTCAGGGGTGAAGTGGACCATTGCTGATTCTGGCTGATGAAAGCAGCTGAAACTCCTTGCTTGCT